AACACGTTTAAAACGCCATATCCTTCTTCACTAACTAAGCGGAAGCATGTTTTGTTGTAGCTGTAAAACAATGTACGAATTATCAGTTTGTATGGCGTATTTTTACTTATAATTAAAGTAATCAAGTACTTTGCAACACGTTTTAATACCCCAACCCACTCCTTTTTCAGGCATGAACTAAAAAGGAGTATGGTAGTTTCAGGTGCGTAGTTTGGGGTCCACTTTTAGTCACGAATTTACGTCGTTTTTGACGAATTGTTATTTAGATTGTTGTTTTAAATTTACGCCACCTGGGCTATTCATAATTAGTTTTTTGGGTAGAAATTAAACTCGGCAACCTAAAATCCCTTATATACGACATATTATAAAGTAATATCCAACGGAAGCAAATAATTAAAATATCTCCATTTTGCATTTCGTTTCGGCGGCCATTTTGAATTTCTACCTTTATAGATATTCGAAATTCATTTTCGAGATCCGAGTTGAACCCAGTCACATCGAAAACTATGTTTATGACTTTCTGTCCCCGCCCCTCTCACAGGCCCTAAACATTACCCCCCCCCCACCACCAAAACGAATGAGAATGGAGATAATAAATCTTCATTCATTGGTTCTTAAGAATATTTTTTACCCTGTTCAACCCATGGGAACACATTCTTAATATGAACAAATCTAAATCCCTAAACGAAATGAATGAATGAATGATATGGGGTTTAACGTCCCGTTGTTTCGGTTCTGGAGAATAAGTCGATAACGAAGACTGACAACGGCTGGCACGTGTTTTAGATAAGACATCGGACGACTACAGCAAACATATAAACTAGGTTTGGTACAATCATCGCTTCGAAGTTGCGTGGTATCAAATCAAATTCCACATTTTTTGTTTTAAACTACCCTATAAAGTATGCCTGATGCATTAGTGTGTACAGCTGAGCGAAGTTAGAAAATACGTCGTATCAGATGTCCTCGAAAGTATAAGTATGTCCTGTATCAGACACCAAATTACTTAAACATGAAATGAAATGAAATGAGATGGGGTTTAACGTCCTACTGTTCTGCTCCGATAGTGGGCTAATGGAGACGGGCATACGCCATGCAGTGTGCGATGAGGGAAAATTTTCCCGGACAGCGGCACTATGACCTACTTTTATATCGAATTTCAACTGCCAATGGATCTTTTACGTGCACGCCAATGTATACACAGGCCTCGGTTTTTCGTCCCGTCCGAATGACTAGATAGCTGTCAGGCCCTCCGTTCTGCACCATTAACAAGGGGAAATCACATCGGAAAATCCTGATGAACTTTCTCGACCAATGCAGGGATCTTACATAAACACCACCCCTTACCTTCCGGTTTTATCTCAGTGCCGATTTGTAATTATTGTTTTCCTAACTCGTACAACTAACCGAAAGAGCCCCAGGGTTAACCCTGTCTTCATTAGTCCGATTGATGTGTAAAAGCTGGATATTAACCCATATTTCATTTCATTACTTGTCCTACAACCCGCTAAAATGTCTCAAATAAAAATGGCTAACAACCCTGGAATTGGAACAAATTATAGTGAAATTTATTTATAACGTTGTATCGATTCTAAGGCAGGATAAAGCGATTACAAATGCTATTACAGTATGCAACTATCGAACCTGTCCGAATAATTACTAATAATTACGAAGAGTTACAAACACATTCTTGTATTTCTTATTTCGCTTATTGTACGCTTTTATTTAAAGGAGGTGTTTATACTTTAAAATGGGTTAATTAAATGGGATTTGGCAATCGACATTTCTGCAACGAATGAGGCGTATGAAGAAGTCTTAGTGCCATGGAGAGATTTTGCCCGTGTCAGCGGTTGGACTAGTTTAACGTCCACTCGACACAAACTATATCATCTCGGGACTAACATATGGTTCAGTTTTATTCAATAATTCGCTTGCGCGTAGGCGGTCTTTTGAAGTAGGGGGAAACCGGAGTACCCGGAAAAAACCCACGAGGTAGGATCTACTCCTTGCTACGTACGAGCGGGGAATCGGAACCACGCCACTTGACTCAATGACATACCTTCTGACCCAACGCGGAAGCGTTGACCATTCGGCCCCCATCCCACCCACCCCCATTTAGCAAGGGAGGTACCGGGTTGGAACTTTGACGGGATAGTGAGCCACCGTCTTACTCATTGAGCCACCGTGATTTCGTGAATTATTGAACAGTCCCTTTGAATCAAATAATCCCGTAAATTGAAATCTCTCAATAGAAAATGTTCATTCACGAGCAAATAGTCGTAAACTAGGCGATAAAAACCTGCAATACATTAACAGTTGTGATCTCCACGTCATAATAACGTGGTTTGTTAAAGGTATTAAAACTCTACTTCTCAATAAAAGTTGTTACAGTGTTAATAAATAAAAGAATTTAATAAAATGGATACCAACACCGTCCGGTTTTAGGTAGGAGTAAAATTTTCAAACAGAAAACAAATCAATATGTACACGCTAATAAAATTGTGAAAATAGTTTGTGTTTAACGCCTGTTTTGCTCCGACTGGGCTAATGAATACGGTCGACAATTGTAACACGTAGAGAGAGAGGGGTGGGGCGGGGAGCTGGTGAGAGAGAGAGAGAGAGAGAGAGAGAGATTCAGTTCGTTTGTTTCTGGAGTTTTCAAAATCTCTCAGGGCTCGATCCCCGTTTTAGCCGCAACATTTCTTCGGTGTGCGGTCGACTTTGCTTGTCATTGTCAGTAGTGCAAGGACAACATCTAGTCGTCGGGATTGGACGAACAAACGGTGGCGTGTAAGTAAATTCGAAACATGAGTTGGTCGTAGCACTGTTTTGCAGACAGAATTTTCCTGACACACATAGCGTTGCATATGCCCGTCTCGAATAGTCCTGTTGGGGTGGCAGTAATGAAGCCCTTAAACTCCATTTGATTTCAGATGACAGCCCCCCCCCCCCCGCCATTTTCCCAACCAGTAGATATAATTGGAAAGAAGAGAAGCACACACTGATCAATGAAAATACTCTTTCTCTCTTTTCAGATTACATAAATAAATACGACTTTAATACTTAACAGTGTCAGTTTCCGTTTGTCTTAAGGCATATTATATAGTTTAGCGACCACGGTGCAGAAATTGGCTCACATTACGAGATAGCTAGACCAGGGTAAAACAAATCATTGTAGACATTTTCTCACAGTTACATCTTAAGAATTTAATACGGGTTCTTTTATAGAAAGTACAGGAGAACCGCACCACACACAAAACAAACACGACAATTGCTAGCATCTAAAACACTATCAATTCAACACGATCACATCTGCTGTTTCTAAATCTTGAAGTCAGAATATCAATGAAATAAAATCCGGAGAAAACCCATGAGCTTGGGGCACGGCTAATGAAGACGGGCTTACGCAATGTAGTGAGCTATGACGAGATCAGAATTCAGAGTAAATATAGAATTTTCACTTGTTTTACAGAAATTATACAAGAACTAAATCTGCCTATTGCAGTATTTCTTTAGACCTTAATTAACGTTATATAAACTATTAATTAGACATTTATTAACATGACAAGACCATAATCAACTCTCCATTTCATCCGATGGGTCTGAATTTCAACAGATTTCAATCAGATCTGCTAATCTACGGCAGCTGATGACTACCGTAAAACCGGATATTCGAAGCTTTGTTTATTATCGTAACAATGGTAACAATGATAATTGAGGCTACAGTGTTACTGAAATGAGAATTTCTCGGCTCAGAGTGAAGTAATTTGACTGAAATGTCCAGCATATTCCCTTTACATTATCTTTTTTTTTAAAAAAAAAAACCAAACTATTATAGCGAGAACTGTCAGGTCTTTATCCAATTTTCCATAATGTCGTTTTACGAAATTTTAACGTCTCATCGACCCCATGACTTGAGTCATATAGACTATAACCACGTAGATATTGCGTTGGAGATAGAATTAGTCACATATACTCTTCAAAAAAGTAGGGGATATTCAGAAACAATACAAAACTGCGTAAATGCACTGCTGTTTTTATTAGAGGTAACCAGTGTATGTTAATAACAGGCCAATTGCCTACACATGAACATAAACAGTTCATATGGGCGGCTTATCTGACGGCCCCATTTCACTCGCAAAGAGATACGCTGTCAAAAGTGAAAATGGACGTTTTTGATTTTTGTCTTAATAATGAGTAATTGCCCCACCAATCCTCAGACATGACATGCTCCTAATCAACAGTCCAATCACGATTTGAGGCAATCTGACCCACTCCTCTTGCAGTGCCACGCCCAATTCTTGCAGTGTTGTCCGTTGACGTCGACGAACACGTCTCCCGATCAAATTAAACGTAACACACTAAAGCAAACAGTAAATCTTATGCAAGAACCGATAATAAAGCAAACATGGATAGGATAAACCAGCAAGGGGCAGTTTTCATCAACCCTTTCTTAAAATGTCAAATTTGACAATGAACCCCTCCCACGTGTATGGCGCTATTGCGTGTCGCACCTGCAGCTCAGTAGTTCTGTCGGGGCGATAAGTTCTTCACACAAGAACATACTCTTAAAGCATGTCAAGTGTCCATGACTATTTATAATATCACAAGCTGCATAGGTATTTGCATTTCTATATCCCCTACTTTTTTTTAAAGAGTATATAATCAATCTGAACAAAAGCTAGGTAACAGGGAGTAAGCCGCTGGTTGGCTTACAAGCAGTCAAGGGTTCGATTCCGAAAAAAATCTTCGAGATTTTTCTATGCTGAAAGAAACTCACCGTCTAGTCGTTGGTAGGAGACGAAAACCAGAGATCCGCGGGGCTGTTGGAATTCGATGACGAACTGTTTGGGCAACATAACTCGCGTAGTATACACGACATGGCGGATTATATATATCCGCCTTTATTACCCCGGGGTTGATGCAGGAAAGTTAACCCAGATTTCTTTTCATTTATTTTACAATAAAACATAGATCTATATATAGAACAGGCTACTCACCAGTATAATAGTTATTCCATTCTCGAGTAGATTACTGCTAGTCCACAGCTCTATAAATAACACATGTTGATTTGTACATAACACACTGTATCAATATAACGTATTAACGCTCATGTTATCCCCAACTCTTTAATGGGGGAATTTGTTCAATAAGTGAGGAATACAAAAACAAAACCTGATTAAAGGTATGAATATTCCTGGGTTATATATAGAAGACACAGTATATATATAGGTGTTATGAGTATAGTGTAATACTATATGGATATAGATACAGGTCTACTCGGCACGAGACTCACTCGGTGTAATGCCATCATATGTTATAGTACTAGACTGACTGTGGCTTCCTGACCTGTGATGCATAACACACGTGCTGATGTTAACGCTGCTTACATACGAGAGAGAGAGAGAGGGAGAGGGGGAGATTTCTGTACAGGTCTTTTTCTACTTGTGTGAGCAAGAGAGAGATGAAGTTTAACGTCCACTCGACACAAACTGGACCATTTCGGTACTGACATAATGGCCAATTTAAGTTCAATAGTTCGCTTATGTCGCACTAGAGGGTGTGTATACTTTCGAATTCCGGACCCCATGATACGAGAGCGAGGAAGATTGGAGTTTCATGTTCACACAACTCTTACTACGTCATTTCAAGAGCAACGCTGGATTAGTAAGGAGTTGGCAAACTAACCAAAATGGCATCGAACTCAGAAAGTTCGTTAAGATTTTCCAGCGTGATTGCCAGTAGCGTATTCACGAGTACGTTTAGTCCGAAAAGCCGAATGAATGTAACGGTGTTTAATGGCTAGCGCCAAACTTACGATGATCAAAGCGGGACGGACTTAAATAAATTTACGAAATTTAAAAAATGGATCACAGATAGACGACCAATATATAATTTCAAAAATATAAAATAATATAAATATAACTAAACTTCATAATAAAAGTCTGTTAATTTCACGGTAGCTAAAAGTGGGTAAGACGCTGGCTTGCAATCCTGCAGGTCGGGTGTTCGATCCCTGCATTGGCCGAGAAAGTTCATCCAGATTTTCCGACGTGGTTCCTTGTCAGTGATGCAGAACGGAGGGCCTGACAATGACAGCTGTCTAGTCGTTAGGATGGGACGAAAACCCGAGGTCCCGTGTACACATTGGTGTGTACGTAAAAGATCCTTTGATAGTTGGAATTCGATATAAGAGTAGGCCGTAGTGCCGCTATCCAGACAAAATTTCCCCCATAGCACACTGTATGGCGTATGCCCGTCTTCATTAGCCCATTTCGGAGCAGAACAGTAGGACTTTAAACCCCATTTCATTTCTTTTCATAAAAAAATCTAGCATGTTGCCATAAAAACCCGGTTGAGCAGATAATTAATACAATGACTGACGGTAATACTTTGATCTAATATCTTTGAGAATGAGATGCTTGCACTCAATCAAAATGTGTTTAACTATCAACACTTGTTCACATTTTGGTTGAGGTTCTTGCTTTAAAGTTACAATTTCATATTTTCTAAGAAAGTCAAAACATAATTATTTCTATGTCTTTTGCTCAATAGGTTGTCAACTCACTATTATACGATCATAGGTGTCATTCTCAAACTTAAAACTCATTTACACCGGAAATAATAACACAATTTTTTTTTATCCGACTCCCTACCCGCCTACTATTATAATAACACAATTACCTCCCTTGTTTTCTATTCTCCACCATGGAGTAGTTATCTTCAAACGTTGAAGATGAAAATGATATTTTTGCCAATTTCTCAACTGGCAATAGTGAATTATAGGATTAATAGGATTATTCTTTAACAAGGTAGGACTGTTTATAGATACCATCTATTTTAAGGCTTTATTTTAATACATTTTAAAAATATAACTTAAAAATATGAAATTGCAACTTTTAAGGTGCTAAATCTCCAACTCTTTATTTTCCATAATATTGGAAATTAAAATCATGAATAAGAATTCAATATTGGCCAATTTCAATCAATATTGATGTTGTTATCTTTCCTCGATAATATTGGGTCCTAATATCCAATAATTAAGACACGATTAATTTATAATCAGTACACGAGTCGTGTATTCTGTGGTTTCAGTTTCCATCTCGTAGCGAGCAAATAAAAACATATCCTACAAGGCAATGTGCAAATAATTAGTAAACACTGATTCACAACGACAAAATAATAATACATTAAAAAACGTGTAAAATGGACAAAGCAGGCGTAAAGGACTGCCGTTAAATTTGAACTGTTCACGTCTTTCACCAAACATTATTGAGTAGAAATAACGATAAAAAATTTAAAATTAGAATATTAATCACTTTATATACCAGCATAATATTACTTTAATGTGTGCTTTACGTCTATTTTAAGGTTTGGACTGTTCACGTATTTCACTAAATATAATTGATTAGAAATTACAATTAAAAAAAAAATAGAATAGAAATCACTTTATATACAAGCATAATATTACATTAATGTGTGCTTTGCCTGTATTTTAAGCTTTGGACTGTTCACGTATTGCACCAAACATAATTGATTAGAAAATACAATAAAGAAATAGAATATAAACCACTTTATATACAAGCATATTACATTTATGTGTGTTTTTCGTCTATTTTAAGGTTCCAAAGAACAGAGCCATATGCCCTTTAAAAAATCTTTGACAGTTAGAGATCTAAATAAGTAAGACATGGCGGCTGTCGTTATAATTATCCCTGATGATACGGAAAAATAAGACATTAAACTCACATTTCATTTCATTTGCGAGACACAAAAACTGAAACAAAATAGGTTCAGTGGTAATGGACAATGTTGGTGTCAACCAATATTACATATGTGATAGAACTGGTTAAACACATTCTAGATATAATATCAACTCAGAGATCATTACTGTGAACGAAGATTCCAAGGAACCGGAAGTGACGAAAGCAAAAGAAAAACATGAGTAATTCTTATATTTAACTGACTGCAGTTAAGAGCGATAACAGACGTAAAGTTGTAATATTAGACTGTGAGAGGATATCTGTTCGAAATTAACAAGTCATAACAAGAATTGGCTTTCACGAGATATGAGAAAGCAATAAAAAAGATAAAAAGACCATGCATTCCCTTGTTTTTATTCCTTATCTACTTACATATTTTAAGCGATAAATACAGTTTATTCCGATAGGCAATCAGTTATATATAAGGATCAGGCCTATTCGTGTTTTCTTTACGCATCTCTGTGTTAATATTATATTTGAAATGTATTTAACCACTTCTTACTCATATGCAATCAGGACCGTAACTAGACCAGAGCAAGCTGTGGGCGGGAAGTGTTCTCAGGGGTGCTATAAAACTGACGGACAATGTATATCTATTTTTTTATGGTCGACAAATTTTTCACAGGAGGGTGGGGGGCGAAAGTTTTTGCTTTGCCACCCTCCCCCGGTAGTTACGGGCCTATATGCAATATTGGCTGACACCAACATTGTCCTTTAAATCAGATTGAATGCCATCGGGCTTGATCTAATGAAAACAAGATCTCATTCATATCTTGACACAGATCTGACAAATCAACTAATAAAAATATTCATGATTTAATTAAACTAACCAAGGTTTTTCGACATTCATTAATAACTATCAAATCCAAATAATAATAGTTTTTTTTATCCCCCCCCCCTCCGCCTACTGGTATTTCGATTTAGTTTATTCTAAATTTATTATGGGTCTTACAATTGTATTCGTGTCCTGTGTACATTGCTTCCCCGCCCCGCCCGATGTGGCAAATCGATCTAAAAGGTACGGAGCTGTTAGGATCAATAATAGTTTATAGTTTGGCTTGTTTCGATCATACCTGACAAGTACCAAAGGTCACATGGGCGGATCTAGTTTTTTCTTTCGTTCCAACTAGACAAACCCCGCGCGGAACAGGACCAGATCCTTACTTTGAGCATTATGGTACCCTTAACACTTGACTATGGAGTCCCTATGAGACAGTAGTCAAGAAATCACTCTCTCTCAGTTGGTGTGTGTTTGTGTGGGGGTGGGTTCCTATTAGGTCCCGATTGCACGGTGTGCGGGGGGGGGGGTATTGGGACCTGCTCGACCTTTACAGAATGTAAAACCTTCATAAAATGGTAATTTAGAGGGTAGGTAAAATAGATAGTAAAGAGTTATCTCCCATGTAACAGCGAATTTCTACCACTAAACTGGACGCCAAAAAGATAGACGGGATTTTCAGACCTATTCCGTTCACCGGCAACAAGGTCTTCCATAACAGCTCTAATACAGCTGCCTTATGCAAAATGTCCCAAATGACACACGTGTTCTTTAGCCCGATGGCTGTAGAAAACTAAGCTGTTCAACAATATTTCATTACATTATTCATATCAATGCAAACCTTTATTTGTTACCCAATTCAAATATATGCAAAGCCTTTAAAGATGGACAGGTGACATACATGGAACCTATATTAGTGGGGAAAAATGAAACTAAAATTAGCAGATAAACTGAAACCAACAGTAGTAGACATATATCAACTAAAATTTTAATCAACTAAAATTGTAGACAACTAAAATTATTAGACAAACTGCAACTAAATTTATTAGACACATTGAAACAACTTAAACTGAAATTAAAATTAGTAGACTAACTGAAACTGCAATTAGTAGACAAACTGAAAATTAATTTAATGAAAAGTATTGTGCCAAACAAAGAGATCACAACGAAACAAACTAAACAATATTACTAATGTATTTATGACAACCATATGGCAAACTAAACCAAATATAACAACCCTAGATCTATACATTTAATATCAATACATATCACAATCCTATATCTAGATACATAAATACAATGAAATATCACATAATATACAATCGATATACATCAATATCAATACATATCACAATCGTATAATATCTAGATACATAAATACAATTAAATATCACAGATTATTAAATTAATTTAAAAATCGTTACTTTACTGTTATAGTAAATAAATTTAAAACAAATATCAAAATTTCTCTATGTAGATAAAAAGTCAGAGAAAAACAACAAAACTGAAAGATAATTAAAATTTGAATTAAATAAATGTCTTGTTATAAAGGTTGAGTTAATTCTCCCGGTTGGGCAAACACGGTAAAAACCAGCGGCAACCAGGCAGGATACGCCCACATTTTGCAAGATATGGATAGAGAACAAGCTAAACAAAAAGCGATTTTTCGTACAATCAGGGGCCATAATTCAGGAAGTTACGACCCGATATGCGCAAATATCGACAGGAACCAAGATCTTTGGGTTATAAACTTAAATTTCAA